ACTAATACTAACATAACGTTAACTTGCGAACTTGTTTGCTCCAATATAGCTTGATAGGTCAGCTCTGATAGTATAGGAGCCTTAATATAAGCCATAAAGGTATTGCTTCCCTGTAAATATTTTTGCATCCCCATTTTAAAGGTATTTACCTGTACTGTTATTATTACGTTTTTGATTTTGTTTGTTTTCTAAATTAAGAGTTTAAGAGTATTGTTTTTATCATTATTATTGTTAGAATGAAGTAATTCTACGTTACATTTTAAGTTATTTAAATCGGTGTTTGATCTTATTAACCGTTTTACAATTATTATATTTTAGTACAAATTACATTAATATACTATTATGAATTACGGTTAAAAGATTTGTTAAATGATTTAGAACTTAACTTTCAACTTCATGCACAAAGTGATGAATGCAAAAATTGTATTTAAAATATACATCCGTTCATTTGGCAAGGAAAAATATTAAATTACAGTTAGGAACTCACCGAATTTGTTATAACAATGCACTTATAATTTTAAATGTTACTTCAAATAGAAAAATGGATTATGTTCACTAAAAGATCTTAGCAGTAACCTAAGGGAGGGAAATATTTGGACGTGGGAAGTGGCTTGACAAGTGTTCTTTTAAGTACCTATATTTTTAGTTAATTTCAAGACATTGAAACATTGCGAATCAATCATCGGCAGAGCCGGATTATACCTTTCGTAGGCCCTAGGCATAGCCGTTTTTGGGCCCTCCCCTCCTTCCTCCACTCCTCCCCTCTTTTCAAAATATATGCTAAAATTTTCTTGCATATTTTTTTAACATTTTTATTAATATGGATTTTAATTTACAAATTTGTTTATCGAACTTTATCTGCAATACCGACACACTGCCGATATTGCAGTTGATATCAATAATACCATTATGATTAGTTCGTTCGATCGATAACTATGTAAACACTTCACGTCAACAATGCAACAACAAATCAGTAAAGAAAACAGTGAAATTGATAGTGAGATTAATTAAAAGAAATATTTATGCTACAAATAGCTTCATAGTTTTCATGATACTACTATGATAACTAAGTGAAGGAAATTAACATTGTCAAAAGTAAATCTTTTGAAATTATTTATAAATAAATTTGCAAGGTAGGTTAAATGTTTACTAATAGAAAAAAAATGATTTAATACTATTTTAATAAAATGTTAGTCACGTTTT